GGCTGCAGGATAGGGGCTGGAGCCAGCAGCATAGCAGAAGAGGTGCGAACAGCAGGGTTCTCGGAGCTTCACTTTCTCTGTTGTAAATGAACACACACACACACACACACACACACACCCACCCACCCCATGCCTTTTTCCCCAGCGTGGTCTGGCTGTCCCACCAAGCAGCCACTAAACTCTCTTACCTGATGCACCCTACAGCTTCCCCTTTCACTGAGTTTCAAGGCTGCCTGTGGGGATTCCAGTTCTTTCAAGGAATCATCTCCTATTTTTATCTGTTTGGACAAGGCAACAGCAAAGATTTCCCATAATATCTTAGTGAGGATGTCTAGGTGCACCCTGGAAAATCCATTACTGAAGTGCTACAGGCATCCCTGATGTGAGGCAGCAGCTTGGGATTCCTGGCAGGGGATGAGCTTAATTGTCTAAAGTGTAGCCCCACCTTTGCCGTGGGGGTAAGGGGGACCCGTTTATTTAAAGCGAGTTCTCACATGTGGTTCAGCTTTAAAGTCAACGCAAAAAAAATTAAAAAAAAAAATAAATTGGAGGGGTAAAACACACAAAAAAAAAATCGGAAAAAATGGAAAAAAATTGGAAGGACTTGGCTTCCTTGGGCTGGAAGATTCTTGGTGGTGGTGTAGTGACCCATGGGTGTGGATTCGACTGGGACAGAGGGAAATAGGGCTGCTTCCCCTCGCTCTCGCAGATGGCATCACCCCTAGTTGCGTCTGCTTCCCGATAAGCAGGGGATGCTTCTCACCAGCTTTTATAAAGCACTCCTGAACTTGGGCGGATGAGAGCTGCTGTAGGAGTTTGCAGGCGTTGTCACTGCTGCTGAGGATCGGAGGAGCCGGTGAGCAAATCTGATGGGTTGTTGTAGCGAGGTCTGGCAGCTTTGGATTACTTTTTTTTTTTTTTTTTGTTAAGCAATTACGGAACCTGAATTACCCCTCACTCCCTCTTGAAGTTGGGAAGAGGATTAGAGGGGCAGATGGTACAACCTACGCAAGGCCCGACAGGGGAGCCGGCTGCTTCGACTGAAACGAGCAGCTCTAGCTGCTGTGCGCTGCCCCTGTTTGCTCGCACCTCGGCTTGCCAAGAGCAGGCTGGAGACGCCTCGCGGTGACGCTTCCTGCTGGCCAAGGCTCCAACCGTGCTCCAAGGACATTTCCAGGAAGCGTCACTGGGATGTTGCAGGGAAGCAACCGCTCTCCCCTCTCCTGCAGCCAGCTGATGGAGTTGACTATAGGCTTGTTGCAAAAGGGGAAAGTACCAGGAACCTCCCCGCTACCAAAATCCCGTGCCAAAGGCAGTGTGGAAGCTGAGTGGTGAGACTCAAGGAAGGCAAGAGGGAGCCGCTCGGCATGGAGCGGGTGCTGCTCCCCCGGGAAGGGGCAGGGGCACATCCCAACAGCAGGCCAGGAACGCCGCCACCTTCTCTGAGTGTCAAGCTGCATCTCTGATGTGTTGCAGCCAGCCGTCCATCATTGGAGGGTACCCACCGCAAGAGTGAGCCCTAGTGCTTAACCAGAGAATTACAGTGGCCTCGCGCCCGTGATTTAGGGTGATGTGATTCCGTGGGGAGCATGTGGGACCCAGTCCCCTAGAGATGTTCCTGGAGAACCAGGGATAGATAGGTGTTTAAATAGCAGTTCATTGTTCTGGGACTGGACAAGGATGTCGGAAGTCCTTTCCCTCTGCCGGGTCAATAGTCCTGTTTCCATTTTGCTGATCACCCTTCGCTCTTGCACATGAGAGCCAGGTCATAGCATCATTCTGGAAACTCCCATTTCCTCTGATTGTTGAAGAAAATGTCCTGAATGTGTCTGGAATGGAGACTGCCCAGGATCCAGGGGCTGTTGTTCTGCCCCGTACCGTCATTTTATGTCTTCCTCTGACTGCATTCGCCTCTTCTGCTTCTTTACTTCCATGACAACTCTCCCAGCTTGGGGCTTTTCTCAGGAAGAAGTCGCTGAGGGTGATGTTGTCGTGGAGATAAGGTTGGCTGCGGTTGGACCATGCCTGTCCGTGTCTTCCCACTTGACTGTGATGTATGAGGTTTACAGCTTCCCATTCCCAGTCTAACAGACTGATCGTCACAACGTGTTCCCAGGATCGGAACAAAAAGACGGAGGGAGGCTTTGGGAGGATGGCAGGGAGGAACGCTGGAATTGCACGAACAGGGCGGGACTGTGGGAAAACATCAGTGTTAGTATTTATGCAAAAAACTGCAGTAGCCATGCAGGGCTGTGGATGCCAAGAGAGCTGGCCATAAATCACACCCTGACGCCCTGCGGCTCCTCGGCAGCTGAAATGTGCTTTTAACCCTGCACTGGCAATTCCCATCCCCGGAGCATCTGTGGCAGAGCAAGAAGCTTGTTTGGACGCTCTTGTGGGGGCATGAAGAGGAGCAATGTGTCTCCTGGTGCCCAGGGCACCCTCATCCCTGCCCCTGCCTGTGTGGGAAGGCCTCAGCTAAAACCCGCTCAGCCATCCCAGTGGGAAGCCTGGATGTGGGGTCGCATCTGATGAGTTACAGGAAAATGTGTTTGGGCTGAGCACACGTATGAGAGATAAAATGGTTCGAAGTCAGGCGACACCTTGCTCTGATCTCATCTCTGAACCCTTTCACCGAAAGGGCTGTCAGGCTCTGGAATGGGCTGCCCAGGGATGTGGTTGAGTCCCCACCCCTGGAAGTATTTAAAAGACGGGTAGATGAGGTGCCTAGGGACATGGTTTAGTGGTGGGATGGCAGGGTTAGGTTAACGGTTGGACTTGAGGATCTTAAAGGTGTTTTCCAAGCTAAACGGTTCTATGATTCTAAGTGCCACTCCACACCTCTACCCACCTAATTGCTGCTTTTGCCTGTAGCCAGGTATGCTAAGTGTCCCTCTCTTGATTTGCCTCTCCAGTTCTTCACTTGCCTGGTGATCCTGTTTGCCTGCGAAGTTGCGGCTGGAATCTGGGGATTTGTCAACAAAGACCAAGTAAGACAACTCAGGTTTCGGTGTTTGTGGGGCTGGGAGGTGGGGGCAGAACTGCAGCAGATCCTGGATCTTTTGCTTGCAAGCTGCTCCCGGCCTGAAGTCATGGGGGCTTGGATTAGCCGTGTGACCCGGGCAGGTCACCTAACTCCTCTTGGCTGGGGCTGATGAACTTTAAATGTGAGCACTTGATGGTAGCAGCTGCCCCTTACGGGTATATAGTGCAATGTCTGGAATAAAAATAGCCCTGTCGCCTGTGTCTCCTCCTCGCTGCCACGCTGTCAGCCACAGTGTGAGCCAATTCATGTATGAAGCCGTGAAGGAAAGCCACCTGCACATCCTGGGTGCCAGAGAGCAAGGAGCAAATCCAGCCACACGGCCCCAAAGTGAGGGAATACCACACAGGGGGAGCCTGCGTCCGTGCTAACGGGATTGCTTGATGCTTCCTGCTCCTTGCCAGTAGCATCCAACCTGTTGCGGGCTGCTCGTCCGCCGGGACTGGGCTTGCTGCTGCTCAGTACGCTGTGGACGTGCGAGGGCTAGAAGTCCTGTGTCTGTCCCAGGCACCCTGCTAGGGACTGCTGGGATGAGGTCCTCTGGCTGGAGGGGTTTAGCTAAAGGGTAGGACTGAACATTTCAGCTTCTCAACCTTCCCTTCCTGCTCGCCTTCTCTTCACCACGGTCTCGCGTGCTCCCACACATGCAGAGTTTGGTCTCGAAGAGCAAAACTATCAGTGCATGGGAACCATGGCCGTGCTGCAGCAAGCAGTGGGCTGGGTGGTGATGGCTCAGTCGTCGAGCGTTTGGAGGAGAGAAGGGGACTGCGTGTGCTCAAAGCCAAGGTTAGACTCTCTGGCAGAGTAGGAAATGTGTTTACTTTCCTACGAGATGTAAGCCAGCTGTGTGAGTAGGTGGTGGCCTGCTCAGCTTTCACACGCGGGTAGGCCACAGATGACCAGCTCGGCCGCGAACGGGAACACCCTTGTAGTCATTCACCAGAGAGAGCATGACTTCACCGGGATAAACTCTTCCGTGGCTAAACATATTATTATGCAGGCAGGGTGCTGTTTCCTAGCAACTTTGGCAAGCTAATTAACCTTTGCAGAGGGGTTGTGCCTCCTGCAGATGTTAGTTTGTGAATCCTGAAGCGTCCAAGATGTGCGACTGAACCGACAGCAAAAACAGTGATGCCTGAGTTAAGGAGGGACCCCATGGCTGTTGCATTCCACGCTGGGGAGAAGGCGCTTGGCCATCAGAGCATAAAGCTGAGAAATTTAGGATTAGAGCCATGACCTCAGCCCCTAAAATTAATTTTGCAGTTTAAAATGAACGGTGGCAGTCTGTTGGCCTCAGCTGCTTTTGCAGCCTTGATGATGAATGGGCTGTTTGGAAGTCCCTGCTGACAAGGCAGGTGGCTTCCTTCTCCTGGCCTCGGCTGGGGGCATCTCGGGAGCAACACGGGCTGGGAGGGCTGCGCTGAATGATCCCAGCCACCGAGGGCTGCTCCCAGCGGGGACTCCATTCCACCTGGGTTTGCAGCCCCTTGGGGGGACAGTCCTCTCCTAACATGCAGGCACAGGATGCCCTTCCATGGAGCTGGAGCCCTCAGCCTGCGTTCCTGGAGATGCTTTAGATACAGGATAGGGAGGCAAGATGTAGGATTATTTTTTTTTTTTCCCCCCCATGTACCACAATCAAATGGTTCGATCGGAGAACATTGCCCTCCAAAGCAAACTTTTTTGAGCAGTGATGGAGAAATGCTGGGATAATTGATTGAAATCACGCTCCTTCTTTCTGCAGTTTCTTTTCTTGCGTGCTAATGCAGCCTGCGCAGCCAAGAGCAGATGTTCTGGAAAGCATTTTCCCTTTCGTATTTACTCATATTTTTTTTTCTTTTGCTTCTCTTGCATGTCCTGCTTTCATCTCTCTCTCCCAAATTATTGGAGGGTGTTAGAGGAGAAGCCCCAAGGCCAGTTTCCCTGAAAATGAGGGGTTTTTTTTTTTGCATTGTGGACCCAAGAGTGGCTGCAGTTTACCAGCCCAGGTGACAGGGCTAGAGTATGGATGAGACTTCTCATATAACCATTTACAGGATGGGGGTGCCCAGCTCCAGGTAGGGACCCAACCAGAGTTTGACATCCAGCTAAAGGCACCTAAGCTTCCTGACCCAAATGAGCTGCCTCACTAGGCTTCAGTGTGCAGTCTCTCCCAAATTCCTGCCATCCCCGCTGAGCCAGACAGCGAGCCGAGGTGCCCGGCCACCTCCTCCTGACATCCCCAGCGTGTCCTGCCTCTGCGGCCTCGGTGGGGAACCTGTTGCCTGCTTGCTTTGTCTCCCCGTGTCGGATGGTTCAGAACAAGCCGTCCCTGCCTCCCTGAGCCCAACAGCGAATCCGTGCGGGATGAAGGCTATCTCAGATCTCATGGTTCACCCCCGGCCCTTGGCTGTCTTTGCCTGCTAGAGAGAGTTTGCGGAGCGCTTGGATAGTGTTGGCTGGAACCTGCTGGCTGGTGGATGAGGTTCTTAATGCTTGCTGCTCGTAACACGCTATGGCTTGAGGGGCTTGAGCCCTATGAAAGGCAGGCCTTTTTTCATGCACCTGTGCAAATAAACGGGGCCCAAACCTATTTAAAAACTGCTCATCTACCTGCAAGTGCCATTACGGGGAACCTGTCCCCTTCAGGCACATCTGCTGGATGCATTTCCTCTTCCTCCTCTGGCTGAAAGGGAGTCTTTCCCCTGTCTTTCCTAGATAGCCAAAGATGTGAAGCAGTTCTACGATCAAGCGTTTCAACAAGCGCTCATGGCAGAAGCGGACACAGGCAACAACGCGAAAGCTGTAGTGAAGACCTTTCATGAAACGGTAAGATGCCAATGGTCTTGCTGCACGCTCTGCTTAGGCTATGTGCAGTTGGCCAAAGCAACTGCTGATGGATAGGAGAAAAGAATTTGGAGAATTACTGCCCCTTCCCTTGTTTCCCCTTCCAAGATGCCTCCTTGGTCAAGGATGTTTAATGGTGGGGAGAGCACTGCATGTGCATAGGCGTTTGCTGTCTGCTAATGCTGGGTTGTTGATTGGGGGTTTTTTTTTCCCCCCTCTTTGTGTAGCTGGACTGCTGCGGTCCTGATAGTGCAACAGAAGTTATCGCTTCTCTGTGGAGAGATGACCTCTGCTCAAAGAAGGACTCCTTCCTGAAAAACCCTCTCGAGGTAGGCACAGCTGCTCTTCAGTCAGCGCAGCTCCTGCGAGGAAACTTGGCTGCCGGGGAAATTTGGGGATTTATTGGGAATTAGATAAGGGATAGAGATTTCCTTTATTTGGGGGTGGTGTAGAGGGATGTCGGAGGTTCCCGTCGGTTCTTCCTTTGCCGTTCCTGCTTGAGGGGGCTGGCAAGTGCGGAGGGGTGAAGTCTGGTGGGAAGTCCTAGAGGCAGGGCCCAGGGACATGAGCGGGACCGGGGGGAAGCAGTCCTGCCTTTCTGGGTGCGGGGGGCGGGCGAGGGGAAAGCAGGTCTCTGACTGGTTTGCTTCTCTGCTTCAGTTCTCGAACTGCCACAAAAAAATCGATGAGCTGTTCTCTGGGAAGCTGTACCTGATTGGTATCGCTGCCATCGTGGTCGCCGTGATCATGGTAAGTGTGACTGTGCAGCGCCTTGCTGTTGTGGGGCAGGGAGAAGCCACCTTGGGGTGTCCTGGTCCTGTTCCACTTGGGCCAGATCCATCCCTTGCCTCCGGGTGCCCCTGCGGCTCAGGCGTGCGGCGCCAGCCCTCTATGCCCCAGCTGATCAGGGACAAGGGTTTCGTCATCCCTTGGGGGGGGTCAGGGTGTTAGCGCAGGCACCTGGTGACCACGGTTAAAGCAGGAGCACCCACAACCCTGTCCAGAAGGGCAGATCGCTGTCGAGCCTCCTCGCTGTCTCCAAACCCACTGGTTTCTCAGGCTGTCGTGTTTTGTCACCAGGGTCTGTGGTGGGAGGGGGTTTGCTGTCTTGGCCACGGTGGGTTTGCTCCCCGCTGAGTGGTGGGTGGCGTGGGCCGGTAGCTCAGCGGCTGCGCGCAGGCTGGGCTGTAATGCCGGGGGGATCTCAAAGCGTTTTCTGCGTAGCTGGCAGCCAGAGAGGGGGAGAACGTCATCTTATCTCAAATTGGCCAACTCCTCATGAAAACAGCAGTGAAGCCATAGCATCTCTGCTCTTATCTCTGGCATGAGAGTGTTTATGTGGAGTGGGGGACCTTGGGATGGGGGGGAGCGCCTGCATCGTACTGTTCGGTGCCTCACTGGTGCCCCTGTGTCTCCCGACAGATCTTCGAAATGATCCTGAGCATGGTGCTGTGCTGTGGCATAAGGAACAGCTCCGTCTACTGAGCTGTGAGAGCCGGGGAGGGGAAGGGGGGAGCAGGGCGGACGGCGCTAGAGGGGAGCCCAAGTGCCACCAAGTGACCAGGAGACATTTCGACAAAAGATAAAGAAAACTATGTATATAAATACTTCCAATATTACCATACAGTACTTATCATTTTTATTTTTAAGTACTTTTTTTTTTTTTAATAAATAAAACTTTCCCGTATCCTTGTGGCTGAGTTAGTTACACATCAGTTTTGTGTGATGGGGAAAGCTGCTGTAGCAGGAGATCAGGTCCTTCCTTCCCCCTTCCCCACCCCCCGTAACTCAGAAATAACGCTGGTGGAAGATGTACAGAAGAGAAGGCTGCAGCCTGTTAGCAGAAAACTTTGCCTTGGTTTTTACTCTCTTTTTCAACACTGACTTTTTTTATACACATAATTGGGTGCTGAAGCAGGATTTAGCATTTTTATTCATTTGTACTCATCTTTTCCTACCATCACCCCAACTCCCTGGCGTTTCCAAGCTGTCCGTAGGGAAGCCTGGCTGGCGGCCTGAAGCCTGGGAGAGAGGAGAGAAGAGAAGAGGAGAGGAAGCAGCCCCTGTTGCCTGGGTGCGATGTGTCCCGGGGGAAATGCCAGCACATTGCTCCTCTCTGACCTGTTTGCATTGCTAGGTCAATCCTTAACAGAAGTCAAATTTTTTTACTCTCTGAAGGAGCGGGGATGGTTTTGGCTTTTTGGTTTTGTGGGGTTTTTTTTCTTTGGACTATAACTTTATAAATTGGCTCATTTCCATTGATTTGTTGTATTTAAAGGGTCGGTTGCTGGGGGCGAATTTTAATCCCAGTTTGTCAAACATAGCAAACTGAAAATTGAGTCAGTTTTTCAATGTCCTTCAATGTTTCTTTATAGGCGTATGTTTTGGGGAGTGTCTAGTTCTGTACTGAGTTTCCACTGTTAAGCTAATACTTGCATACAAATGATAGTGGAGAAAAGAAGAAAACTTTTTTTAAAGAAAAGTCCTGAACCTTAGAAATCCTGCATTTCTGTATTGCAGGATGACGCCTGGGGGTTCCCAGCCATATGCACGCGTGTTTAAAATTTCATCTTTGCATCACTCTCTCGTTCAGTGGAATTTTCCTTCCTTACAGCATGTTGTCGCACACTGTAACATTGCTGGGAAATTGGCATAACCTGATTTTGCAAAAAAAGAAAAAAAAAGAGAAAAATAAAAAAAAAAAAGCTTAATTATTTTAAGACCTTCCACTTCCAGTCACATCAACGGCAGGAGATCAGCTTATCAAAGCAAGGGAATTCAGGATTTTAGATCGCACCAGTTGGAACACTTTCTTGTAACCTGGTAAGCTTTGGTTGCCAATTCGATGTACGTGGCTTCTGTTGTATGCCGCTCCGTTACCATGTAGATAGAGGGGGGAAGTGACCCAGGAGCTATGTAATAAAATCAGAGTCTCTCTAAAAAGATGATCTATATGTATAGTTCTATAGATATATATTTTTAAGCAAAGCCTTTTCCTTAGCCGTATGGGCACTTGAGCTGGAAATGAACAGTATCTCACAGCTCTTTGCCACCTCAAAGGAGGTAAGGGGAGGAGTTGGGAATAGCGATCACCTTCCCCACTTCAGGAATATTTCTTTCTTAAACTATTTTGCTCTCCCCCTTCGTTGCAGTGAAGAGCTTCAGATCGGACAGGGAGGGAGACCCATGATCATTTTAAACTTGTACTGTGTCCACTGCACGTGGCTGCCGTGGCCGCTAAAGGATAGGAAATTCCTGCACTGGGGCTTTTCCCCCCTTCCGCTCCCCCCTTTCCTCTTCCTGCCTTTTAGTGTTATAGGGCCTTTAAAAAGTATATAGGTAAATACATATATATATATATATATATCTCAAGTTGTGCTGGGTAAGAGGAGGAAGTGCTTCAACAGAACTTCGGGTTGAGGGGTTGGACAAGAAAAGATTCAGCCTTAGCAATAGCCTTAAAGCAACACTGCCCTGAATGTCCACGTTGTGCACGTCGAGAATGAGACGAGGTTTTGCAGGAGGTAACCCCTTCCCCTGCCCCCCGGCGTAGCTCCTTCAGGTCATCTACTCTGTTATGTGGCTATATGTATACGCATCAACCAAGCATGTGTGTTTACATATATGTGCATCGGGATCGGTAGCATACAGAATGGATGTGTAACTTGCCGCCTTTTTTGTTGACTGTTGATAAATGTGTATAAATATGCCATTAAGCATTTCAGTTCTGTTTTCTTTCCTTATACTGTATTTTTGATATTGTTCAGTATTCAGTTGATGCTGTGTATGTAGCCGGAGCTCTGTTTGAAGACGGACGGGGTCTCGATGCAGGTCAGGTGTGTCCTTGGATGCCGTAGCTTTAGGGCTCTGGGCTGTCCCAGGCAGGAGCAACTGGGAGAAAGTGGTGCTTGGAGAGGGAGTCCGGGAGCTGTGGGAGGAAGAAGAGCAGGAGGTTTGCTTCGACCATGTTCCCGCACAGGCTGCAGTTTACTCTTTGGCTTATTTTGGAGGTGGCTTGTCACTGTGGGGAGTTCCAGAGGCAGCTCCCTGGGCCACCTCTTGTCCCTGCGGCTGCTGCGGGAAAGGTGCTGTGGGAAAGGAACAGCGAGCGGCTGGGGAGGTCGTGGGAGGGGACAGAAAGAGTTTGAAGGGAGAGGGCAATGCTTTCCCTAGCGTTACTAGCTGAGAGTCCCCACCTTTGATGGAACGGTCGTCAGCTGTAGCAGGAGGGGTCAGCCCTGGCAGAAGAGGGACAGAGAGGAACCGTCGTGCTTAAGAAGGATGAAGTAGCTGAGAAACCCTCACAGAAAATAACGGCCCCCTTGGGTCTCCTCCAGTCCGGCCCCCTGTGAAGTTGGACCCGAGTTAAAACAAACTAGGGAGGGAGCTGTGAAGGGCCGAGGGGACGCGCCATGTTGCAACCACTCGGGATCCAAAAGTGACAGGGCTCTTCTGCCAGCTGGTCGGTCCCAAAGCTGCCTGAGGAGAAGGGGGAAAAAACCACTAGGTTGGACCCCTGCCCTGCCTCAGACCCTCTTCTGCATTCCTTCGCATTTGTGTGTGCAACAGGGGGCCCCAGCCTGCTCCCCTCCGCACCCCCAAAAACCAAACTACGGATGAAACTGTGGGCTGTAAATACAAAGCCCTCCCTCTCCAGGGCCGCGTCCTCCCAGAGCTAGTGACAGCTGAGGAAATGGCTGTGAGCTGAGGCGGGGAGGAGAAGACTCAACTGCCCAGGTCTTAGTTCAAAGACCACATCGAAAGGTCAAACAGAGCCGCTGACAGCTTAACTGAATGCTTGGGATTTTTTCATACTGTGGAGCATGCCACAAAGCAGTGTGTTTAACTTCTTTCTGCCTTTTTTTTTTTTAAAGAAATGAAACAAAAATCGATTTAATAAACGTTTCTCATAGTGTGCATAGTGTGATGAACCGCTGCAGTTTTACAACCAGTAACCTTAACACCAGGATGCTTTTTGAAACCAGGCTTCAACAGCATGGGTTTTTCCAGCCTCTGGGAGGGGGGCCTGCAGGCAGGCTGGGGACGCATCCAGAATGGTGCTGAGGGAAGGCAGCAGTGGCTGCTGCGATTGTGCCCCCACCCCCCACCCCCAAAGGAAGGGGGGCACAGCTGTGGGGGAGCTAATGTGGGTTGCAAAATAGGGTGAGTGTGCTGAAATTCAGGGGGGCTGCAGTGGCAGTACTGCGCACACCCTCCTGACGTGACCAAAAATGGCCCAAAATGCCCTCTGTTGCCATCCGGCCGGGGGCTGGTCTGATTTTTGCTGATGGTTTGGTAATGCCACCGCCTGCCCCTCCGCACCATCAGGGGCAAGCCTGGCTGAGAGCAAGGGGGGAAGGCTGAGTGCTGTGATCCCACAACTGCCTGCCTTTCTCTGCCCTCGCTGCGTTGGAAGCAGGAACGTCCCACGGCAGCCACCGGCCATCGCCCATGCCGGTGCGGAGAGGGAGGGAATGCCGGGCGAGGGAGAGCGATGTTCAGCTGCTGCGAAGAAAGGCGAGCCCTGCTCCCGGCGGCTGTGCCCGCGCTACAAGATCATGCCCATCTGTTGTTCTTTCACTTGTTTACCTGAATGTTAATGGAGTCGGACATAATGACTCCTGGAAAGAAAAAAAAAAAGAGATATTTAAAAACAATAAAAAAAAAAGAAACAAAGCAAACCCCCTTGTTAGTGGATTTTTAACGATGCGTTGTCAGATCTTGTTTCTTTCCATTGCGTACAGATTTCTGCCACGTCTTCCAAGGGAACAGGCTTGCCTCGTTCTGGTATTCAAGCAAAATTTGGGCTGCAGGGAATGCAGTCCTTAGCTGACCCTCTAGGTAGTTTCCCATGAATGTGATGCTCTTTGCTTCATGCCTTAAAACCTTTGTATTGTGGTGCTGTGTTGTTGCTCCAGATGGGGATACAATTATTCCTGCCTCTGGAGGTAGGATTAAGCTGATGTGAGTCACTGTCAGACTCGGGCTGGTGTTCAAAAAGGGTAGAAACGAGAGTGGAAACCAACTGGCAAAGCGCAGCGCGTGTTTGGCATCCAGGGCGTGTGCCTTGGGACCTCAGCCTAGAAGCATAGCTGGGATCTTAAACCTTGCCTGGCTAAACGCTGTGCCCTCCGTTTGCACCTCGGGGCCGAGTGTTAACACCGAAGTGCTCGACATGGACGGAGTGGTACATGATGCTGGAGCTGAGATGCTGGGACAGGACTGGGCAAACCAGGCCCCTTTGAGGTGCTGTTCAGTGAAGACATGGATTATTCTTGGAAAACAGCAGTCCTGCTGCGTAGGAGCGTGTGAGGCCACACGGGTAAACCACTGTGAGGGGAAGGGGTGGGTGGAATGCCTCCAGCCTGCTCGTTCTCATATTGCACCAACCGACAACCCTGGCTTATGCTTCTCCTAAACGTTTTTCGCCAGAGTCTGAAGGATTTGGAAAGTCACTGGAGACTGTACTGTGGACGTCTGATTCCTAGGAATATGACTGTGGAATCTTTTTTTCTGTGAAACAAGAATTTTCACAAAATAAAAATACAAGCATGGGTTTTTTTTCTGAGCTAGACCAAGTTGGGATTTTTTTTTCCAGTGGAATTCTTTTCTTGTCCCTTCCAAACTGTTTTTAAAAAAAGCCCAAAAACCTCTAGACTGTTTCTGACGAGACATTTTTGCTTTGGCAAGCCTTATTTTGTAAGACTCTGCTGGGCTGTTTGTGCTGTAAGTAGCAATGTGCCTAATTGTTTCTTCCTAAAACAGCTGCGACTAATGTGTATAAATTTCTTAATTCTGTTCCCTAATAAGGGGTTATCTAAGTTCTAACCAAGATTTGCAATATACCCGCAGGAGGGAAAAAAACCCCAGCCAGCTCTCCCATGCAAGAGCTGTTAATGGGGGAGGTTTCTGCAGAGGAAAGTTCCCTGGCTGCTGGATCCTGGCCCAGCAGCTCCGCTTGCCAGGCCCAGTGATGAAGGATGTGTTAGATAGCGGCTGTGCTGCTCTGGGCCACCATTTCCTTTGCTGGGCATGGCAGCGTGGCCCTTCCAGTCAGGGGAGAGGAGGGGGTTTCAGTGCCAGGGCGAGCTGCTGACAGCAGAGGAAAAAAAAAAAAAAAAACAAACCCAAGACTATTTCAACCACCTCATTTACTGGCAGGGCTGTGGTACGGCTGGGAAGCTGTGGCTGTGCCGGAGAGGAGGCAAGCGTGGAAATACAGCCCCTGGTGAGGGATCACCTGCCATCAGTGGGTGCCAAAGGGGAGAGGGCAGCAATTAACTACCTGACCAGCTCTTGATGAAGTGATAAAGATGCAGGCTGGAAACCCCAAATCCCATTGGTACCACGCTGTGCAGCTGAACTAGAGGCGCGGTGTTAATCTGAGTATTTTTGTCTGACCGGTCCGCTCAGTTTCAGCCTGGGGAGCACCAGATGATTTACCTTGCATGGGGCATAACCCAAGCAGGCGGGCGCAGCTTGCGGTGCGAGCTCTTCAGCCAACCTCTGGCAGCGTGTCTGGCCAGCGCAGGCGGCCCGATGCTTTCACTTCAGAGCCCAGGGAGATGGAGCAAACAGAAGACACCTCCCAGCCGCTAGAACTGCTGCATAACTGAAACCCGCATGGTTTTTACACTTGTGAGGATACACAAACTTTGCAGCCAGGCACGGTCATGCCGACCGCCTGGCATTTCTCACTGCGTTCAGATGACCCAGCTCAAGTGCCAGTGGTTGCAAGTAACATTTCTAATTAAAGTTTAATCTCACCTTTTCCTTTTAAAAAAAAAAAAAAAAAAAAGTCTTTCTTGGCCCTGCTTTGCTAGGGCAAACCCTCATGTTAGAACACAGCTTTGCTGAGTACCCAAGAGGTGTGGGTGTTAGGCCAGCTGAGATGAATAAGCAGGTTAAGATTTCCTCCCGGAAGGGTTAGTGGTGCTAAATGCAAAGCCCTGTGTTGGCTACAAAGTTGTGTCAGTTAACACAGCTCCTACAGGTCGTGTTCTTCTAACAAGAAGTCTGGGGAGTTTTAGGGTTTTGTGGGTTTAGGTTTTTTTCTTAATATTAACTTCAAGGCCCTCAGCTGGTTCCAATGACCTCTTTCAGCCCCCTGCTACTGCTGCTAGTATCAGGCACGTTGGGCCAATGAAAGGAAGGGGAAAAAAAAAGGCAAGAATTAGGGGAAAGATTTTTTTAGTACAAATACTCCATAGCTAAATTGAAATGAACAGAGACCCCCAACTGGTTTTGTTTCTCTTTAAAAATTTCAAATAATTGCAGAGTATTAATTTGCTCGTAAATGACTTCAGTTCCCTCCCACACACACAGTGTCTCTTAACAGGAAAGGGGTTGTGGGTTCTCTCAGCAGGTCCTCTCCTGGCCGGCAATAACATTATTATTGCGAAGAATCCAGTTGACAAAGACCTTCATAGCCTGCCTGCATTAAAACTGACTCCACAGGAACTAATTTTATGTAGTTACCTTAGGGGGAAAAAGCACCAACATGGGTAAACAGCACCGGAATAAATCAAACCCGCTTGCAGGTGAGCCAGGACCAAATGAAAGTGCAAAGTAAAACAGGTAAGTGAAGCTTGGTGTACAAGAGGCGGTGTCAAACACTGAATCCTGGAAACTCACCCCACGGGGGATTTTAAGGCCATTTGTAGGCTTTCCTTCCTGCAAATGGGAGAGGGCAACTCGAATTATTTCCTTCAGCCTGTACCCATTCTGGCTTGGTGTGACTGCCTTCTCCCAGCAGAGAAGGATGCGGTGGTCACTACTGAGCTTTTGCTTTTTGCCTGCAGGAAAATACTCCTTTCCCTCCCCACCTCCCCTCAGGAGCCCCAGCATCAGCTGCGTGTGGCCAGACGACAAGTTGACCATGAGCCAGCAGTGTGCCCTTGTTGCCAAGAAGGCCAATGGTATCCTGGGGTGCATTAAGAGGAGTGTGGCCAGCAGGGTGAGGGAGGTTCTCCTCCCCCTCTACCCTGCCCTGGTGAGACCCCACCTGGAGTACTGGGTCCAATTCTGGGCTCCCCAGTTCAAGAAAGATGAGGAACACCTAGAGAGAGTTCAGAGGAGAGCAACAAGGATGATAAAGGGACTAGAGCATCTCCCTTAGGAGGAAAGGCTGAGAGAGTTGGGCTTGTTCAGCCTGAAGAAGAGAAGACTGAGAGGGGACCTTATAAACACTTACAAATATCTCAAGGGTGGGTGTCACGAGGACGGAGCCAGACTCTTCTCAGTGGTGCCCAGTGACAGGACAAGGGGCAGTGGGCACAAACTGAAGCATAAGAGGTTTCAGTTGAATATGAGGAAGAACTTCTTTACTTTGAGGGTGACAGAGCACTGGAACAGGCTGCCCAGGGGGGGTGTGGAGTCTCCTTCTCGGGAGATATTCAAAGCCCACCTGGATGAAATCCTGTGTGACATGCTCTAGATGAACCTGCTTGAGCAGAGGGGTTGGACTAGATGATCTCCGGAGGTCCCTTCCAACCCTTACCATTCTGTGATTCTGTGATACCAGACCAACTTCCATACTCCTACCGGATGCAGGAGACAGTGAAAATGCATCCAATTGCTCTGCCTGGCTTGCAGGACCTGGGCGGCTGCTAGGGAACCGGCTGCAGCTTTCCTATAGCAGCGAGGAGAGGGGCCAGCCATCCCTGCCAGGCACCTACCCCGGCTCCGAGCGCAGCAGCAGCAGGAGTCTGCCAGTGAGCAGCGGAAACAGATACCAGATGGGGGCCAAACAACAGATTTATTTGCCAGAAAGGAGCACGAGGCGCCCAGTAACGGGGCCGAGACTGGTATGCATCGCACACACCACTCCCACGCACAGGGACGGGCTGGCTCCCTGCAGACGCATGGGGCCAACTCTGCGAAAAGAGCTGGCCCCTCGGAGCCCGCTCGCTTGGATGATGTCCTGTGCTGCAGCTCAGATCCACCTTCCAGCCTCCCCCACCCCTCTTCAAGCCACCTTAGTTCACGCTGGCGAGGGGAAAATGCTTTACCATCTGTTCGTCTTCAGAGTCTGACTCATTATTTTTATTTCAGCTGTCGCCAAGCAATAGCAAAAATCCCAACACACTAGCATATCCACCGCTGCAAACTGTCTTGTCCTCAGCCACCAGAGAAAGCACAGCTCATCCCCAGTTCTCCACGGCGTGCAATACTAGATCTTCTGCAAAAAGACAGGAAGGAGGAAAAGGGTACAGTCAGCTTCTGAAGGTGACCTTAGTCATCAACATACACGGCCTCCAGGCAAAAAACCCAAGAACTTGTAGCCTCTGGAAATGGAGGAATGGGGCTTGTTTCTGAAGGCACCCACATCCACAGGTAATAGAGATGGTGGAGGTGCTCTTCTGCCCTTCTGAGCCCCCTAATAGCATTAAAACCAGGGTTTGAAACAAATAGTACCATCATTTGCAGTCCGTGGCACACTCTGCTTGTCTCCAGCTGTACAAAAATGGGGGCATGCCACTGCCTACCCCACAAGTTCTTGCCTGCTCCTTAGCACCCTCGGAGGCTCACACCAGGCGTGTCCCCCGCGCCCCGTTACACCGCGCTGGTGG